TGAGGGAAATGACTTAGAAGAGTGGGGAGCCAGTTCTTACAGGTCGGTTGTAACGGGGGATACGCTGACGAGCTGGCGTGGTAGGTATGGTGTGCCTAGCTCGGTGATAATGATTATTCCCGAACCTTTCGACCGCGCTGATAGGCCACCCTTAGGATATGTAGCTTTGAATTCGGCCATTTTACAAGCCGACCTTAGATTTCCCGTCCCTAGGATTATTTGCAAATTCTTTTCCTTTTGGGGTATAGCTCCGACCCAGCTATGCCCCAACTGGTGGTGAACTTTGATTGCTACCCTGATTTTATGGGACTAGTTAGGGAATCCCGAGCTGAGTGTCGAGCAGTTCAACTCCTTATTTATTTTCAAAGGGAATGGGAAGAGCTCTGGCTGGTGGTATACTAGTGTCAGGCCGAGGACCGGCGGTTCCCTAGTGCTGGACACGTCTTCCTCAATTAAGAAGTGGAAAGAGGAATTCTTCTACGTGTCGGGAGATTGAGAGTTCCACCCAGCCAAGGTGAATAGGGGAGGATGTTGTCCCCAAATTCTACCATGCCTTATGTAAGCAACACTTACTTTGATACTTAAGTCCGAGCTGATATTAAAGTAATGCTAACTACCTATGCTCTTGCTTGCATATTACAAGAAGGCCACCTCGACCAAGGATACGCATAGGCGTGCTGAGGCCATAAGGGCTCTTCCCAAAAGGCAGAGGTCGTGCAAATACGTGATCTTCGACTCGAATTTATTCAAGGCGGGCTTGATCCAGACAATTGCTTCAGGCCAGACCTCAACTCGCCCATCAGCATCAACTTCAGCTAGCCCAGGTAAAAGTATCACACTGCCTTCCTAAGCTCGCGTGACTTTCAACACTATCATCAACTTATATGTCTATTGTTGTTTTTTTTTTTTTAGTCCGTGGTCCGAAAATGTTAGGATACAAGGCAGCCAAGGAGGCAGTGGTGGCGACAGCGAAGCGAAAAAGGCCTGAGGCCTCAGTTCGGATAGAGAACTTATCTAAAGAAACTGAGGAAGAGGTCCCGCCTTTGAAGAGGACCCGATCTGGTACTTCGGCTGCACCTTCCATCCTGAAGTACGTTCTTCCTGCCTCACTGAGTCCTGTTCAGGAAGCCCCTCATTCTCTACTATTTTCCACTCTGGAGGCTATCCCAACTCTACCGTATTCGAACCCAGAGGTGACGGTCTCTGCTGCTCCTTCCGTTGTAGTTGACAACTCTTTCTGATCTCGAGAGAGATGTCCCGACCTGCAGAGGCCGAGTTTGGATAGGTTACTAGGACGCTGGCCTGAAATACGATTGGATTTCTTGTGGGCTCCCTCCCCTTCCAAGGAGACGACGGCTGCGCTGGCTCCTCCATTGCGCGACTCTACCAATATCCTGACTAGGAGCTGGAATGAGAGGGAGCAGGGTTTTTTAGCTGAGATATCGCTCGAGGAGGCGATCGTCACTGCTCAGCTCCATAGCCACCGGTCCATTTTGTATACAATGGCCGTGGCTGACAAGGTACCTTTATCCGAGCTCTCATACTTTGAATTTCACCGATTTATGAAATATCTCGAGTCTCACTGACTTCTTTGATTTTTGTTTAGCTAAAAATTGAGCTTGAAAAAATGATGAAAGCCAAGGACCAAGCGCTAAGCCTCTACCAAGGCATGGAGAGGGAGAGAGCTCAATTTGCTGCTCGGGAGAATGAGATGAGGATAAATTCAATAGGATGGGGAAGAGCTTCACTCCAGACTAGACTTGGAGGAGACGCTGCAGGAGGAGATCAAGGTTTTGAAGACTAGGGGTGAAAAGGCCAACTAGCAGACTGACGTAGAGAGGAAAAAGGCAGAGGAAGAGAGGGCTTGATCAGAGGAGTTGCGAACTGTGGTGGCCAAGAAGTGTTCTCATACAAGGGAGGCTATGGAAAAAGTAGAAGAGACCAATATGAGGACCAGAAAGGCAATAAAGAGGGCAGAAGAGGCAGAGGCTAAGGCCATCAAGACCATGGAGATTTGGAGGGAATCTCCAGAGTTTGATGCCCTAGCCTAAGATGCCTACGTAGTGGCCTTGGAGGAGCTGATAAAACATATCCGGAGGGAGAGGCTGGACTTCGATGCCGTTTTCCTGGATGAGAGAGAAGAGCTGTGGAGATTATCTGTTGTTGCAGGAATTTGGATATTCTAGCCTGACCAAAATGTTAAGGGCAGCACCCCAATCCCCCAAGATCCTCTTTCCCCTGGTCCCTCTTAGGATAATTATTTTTTAATATTTTGGAAACATTGTTTAGCATTTTGAGATGTTTTTTGACTACCTGTATTACACTATGATCTTCGTTTGATATATTTCGTGATGTTTTGTCTGGAATGGAAGGATTTTTCTGTTTTACATGGTTTCTTTAGCAGGGATCTCGTTTTAGTCATGGTAATACTTCATGAACTTGGTTTGATATGCATAAGTACCGCCTTGCTTACGACCTTAGATCAGCCTGCGCGTGTGACCTGTAGGATTCCTTAGGAGAAATTTCGTCTAAGTGTTGCAGCACATACAACCTTAGCTTGGCCTACGTATGGAGCAGGGCTTTGGAGAATTCTTTAGGAGGAATTTCGTCTAAGTGTTGCAGCACATACAACCTTAGCTCAGCCCGCGTATGGAGCAGGGCTTTGGAGAATTCTTTAGGAGGAATTTCGTCTAAGTGTTGCAACACATACAACCTTAGCTCGACCTGCGTATGGAGCAGGGCTTTGGAGAATTCCTTAAGAGGAATTTCGTCTAAGTGTTGCAACACATACAACCTTAGCTCGACCTGCATATGGAGCAGGGCTTTGGAGAATTCCTTAAGAGGAATTTCGTCTAAGTGTTGTAGCACATACAACCTTAGCTCGGCCTGCTTATGGAGCAGGTCTTTGGAGAATTCCTTAGGAGGAATTTCATCTAAGTGTTGCAGCACATATAACCTTAACTCGACCTGCGTATGGAGTAGGACTTTGTAAAATTCTGACCAGATGTCGAATTGAATGTTCAAAATAAGGAGTCATTTTTATTGATATGGTTGACATTACAAGCGGGTTCGCATGTTACGGACTCTTCACGTTTACTGGTGATATTGCCTAAGGTGTTTGGCGGTCCAGGGGTGGGGTAGAGGTCTACCCCCAAAGTCTTTCAATTCATAAGCCCCTCTTAATAGGATCTTTGTTACCAGATAGGGACCCTCCCAGTTCGGTCCTAGGCATTCGCTACCAGCCTCCCTTGTGGCGAGAAACACCTTTCGTAGGACTAGGGATCCCACGTCAAATTCTCTCATTCGTACTTTCTGGTTGTAATACTTGGCATTTCGTTGCTTATAAACTGCATTTTTGAGTTTAACGTTGTTCCTCTTTTCTTCGATGAGGTCGAGTTCCGTACGAAGAGCTATATGATTTTTTTTCTTCGGTGATCTTGGCAAGTGGCTCAGCCTCGGCCCATTTAGTGAAGTGATCCACTGCAATGATTGCGAATTTCACACCTCCCCTTCCAGTGGACATAGGTCCGATCAGGTCGACCCCCTATTTCGCAAAGGGCCAAGGTGCCGTTACCGGGTTTAGTTCGCACGGTGGAGTGTTTATGATAGGCGCGAGACGCTGGCACTTGTCGCATCTTTTGACAAATTCGAGGGCATCATGTCTATTTCAACCCAGAAGTATCCTTGACGTATGATCTTGTGGCCCAAGGATTGCTCACTGGAATGATTTCCACATATTCTTTCGTGAACGTCTCGCAAGGTGTGTTGGGCTTCTTCTTCATTCAAGCATTTGAGCAAGGGTGTAGAATATCCTCGCTTGTAGAGGACATCATCGATGAGTGCGTATCTGGCCAACCTGATTCGGAGCTTTCTGGCTTCTATCGAGTTTTCAAGGCATTTCCTAATCTTTACGTGTGTGATGATCTCGTCCTGCCAGGTTGGTTTGGGATCTATTATCATAAGGGCCACTTCGACCAATTCGGTGGTAGGTAGGGATATTCTTCCTACGGGGATGCTATCAAATACTTGAATTCCCTCACTCATAGCTAGGCGAGCCAGAGCATCAGAGTAGCCATTCTGAGATTGGGATATCTACTCGATTTGGATGGTATTGAAGCTTTCAAGCTCTTTCCTTACAACCCATAGGTAATTGTCCATTCTTTCTTCTTTCGCCTGAT